CGTCTTTGTTGGAGATGGACCGTGACTTGTGTTCATTTAGGCTACGGATGTCTGCTCAGATTATGTATTTCAAAAGCTTTTTCTCTGATGAACTGTGAAAAGCCAGGCTTGAGCAGAGGATTGCGAAAGATAAAATAATAGACCCTCTTCCCACTGTCTGGCAGACCTAATGCGGTTAATGCAGCTACTCTCAGATCTTTTCAAAAGCTTGGAGACAGCAAATTTGTTCACAGTCAATAAGATGGTCTTCTGAGCACAACCCCTTATGTTTCCTTTATCAGTCTTTTCCTAAATTATTCACAAAGCTTTTTACACTCCAAAAATCTCCAGTCTGTGGATTCAGCATTTCCCAGGTAATAAGGTTTAATAGGCATAAGTGGCATTGATAAACTGTTTATACGTGGTGTGATTAAAAAACATAGATCTTCTTAAGGGAAAAAAAACCATGAAGGAATAAATACGCCACGAATTTAAACTAAATTAGCCTTCCTGCTCAACTTTTTTTTTGCAAAATTGTATTTAGTAGGAAAGTAAGGAAAACTCTTTAAAGCTACCTGGATGATACTGGCTACTTCTGGGAGCAGATGGCTGTATTACCAAGAGATTCAGTTCAGTGCCTTCCGTGATGTGTAAACATTTGCTGGAAGTTACTGGAGCAGAACGAAAGAGTTGCAGCTTTTTCTTTCTAAAGTAGTATTGCATGTTTGGCTAAGGTTTTTCAGGTGGTGTTTTATCTCACCTTTTCTCTATTACGAAGTGCACAAAATGTGTATGATTCATTTAAGCAGTGTCAGCTTCCCATCCTTCCCTTCTGCACCCCTGCATGCTCACACAGTTCTAGGAGAAACTGGAATGACATCTTTGGAAGCAGCTATTTGCACTTCTGTTTTCTCTTTATGCAAAGCCTTCTCTTCACGTTTAAAGACATTGACAACATAAAGTAATGAGGGGAAAGGGAGCATGTGTGGCTTTTCTTTTATTCAGCACGTTATAGAAGCACGGCAGAAGAACTTATTGCGTCCTCCCCTACTCTTGCAGTAGCTCGACGTGCATCTCTGATGTGTGACGTTTTTTTGAACGTGTGTTGAATTACCATTAAGTTATTCATTTCAACAGGATCAGATAATGGAAAAAAAAACATTCTCCAAATGTCTTTTACAGTCAAAACTGTCTTGTAGTTTGGCTACTTTTAGCTATCATATAAAGCAGTTTTTGTTCTGGGATGTTATTTTGGAAGGAGACCAATAAGGGAAGTTCATTTCTTTTTTTTTGAATGGCAAGTGTTTTCTCTAGGGCTACAAGTCAAGCTCAGGTAATGTTACTTTAGTCTTTAGCAGTTTTGCAGTTAGTGACTTTGTTAGCAAAAGGAGAAGACGAGACAAAGATTCGTCTTTCCTGGTTTAAACTGCACCACAGGGGAAGTGGAATACCACTGGACTTATTTGTGAGCATCTTTTGCTAAAGGACATTAAGATTTTGTATTTATGGCCAGAGGGTCCACCTATAAGGCAAGAATAAAAATGTTGGTGTGGGAGAAGCATGTTTCGATAGTACACTCTATGTATAGAGGCTTTCCCTATTTAGGGAGGCGGATTATTTGCATGCAGAAAGAGAAAAACGTCTGTATTCAAAGTACTCAGCACTGCCCAGGGTACAAGAAAGAGCACTTGACAGATAAAACCTGATTTTTTTCTCTTCACAGGGTATTTCTGTACCCCTCATGCCAGAGTAGCACAAACTAGTACTTGCTGAATTGATGGGGATGCTAATTTAGATCCCCCAAACAATGTTGCTTATGGGCTAATACAAAGGCTGTGCCAATCAGCTGTTTTCAAAACAGCATCATTTTGGTTATGTTTGTGGTTGAGAGAGATCTATACTGGCCCCAGTGGAGACATGTCTTAGGTTGCTCTTATTTTCAAGGGTATGGTGAAGTAAATGGAAACACAGGCAATAAAACTAAAAACCTGAAAAGGAATAGAGAATTACTGGCAAACAAGTGATGTAATTCCAGAACTCCTGAACAGTATGTTAAGTGCAAACTTGCTCCAAATCTTTGTAAGATAGGTAGGCTACTGTTGTGTGAGAAGGCTTTGAAGCTAGATAAAACAAATGGTTAGTTTTTTTTTTCTTTTTTTTTTTCCTGCCCTATATTATCCTAAAGCTGTTATCAGATTCTTTCTCCTCTTTAAAATGGCTGATTTTTGGCAAAATCTTTTTGTATCTATGGAGGTTTTTCATGCAGGACCTAAAAAGGACCTATCCGAAACAGACAGATAACCCTATGTGTTTTCAGAAGAAGTTGACATATAATTCACTGCTCTCATTTTTTCTTTGTTTTTTAATAAGATGGAGATTAATAAAGAGGAGAGACCATGTTGCTGAGAATAGTCCCTTGGTAACTAATTACATCTCATCAGGTCTGCAGAGGCATTCTGTTCTCACTCTTCTGCCCATGCGCTGTAACGGGTGAACCAAGATGAGTGGAAGTCTTGTGGTATTTTACTGGAATGTCATCACATTTTCACTTCCCTTGCACCAAAGATTCATAGACAATTGTATTCACTCATGGATCACTCCTTGCATATAAACTTGATGTTTTTGTAGAAATGATCTACTTGTCACTCCACTCCCAGTGCTGGCCCTTGTCTGTGTTATGTGACAAGAATTCATTATTCAGCAGGTGAAGTTAGAGAAGCTGTAGTAATATGTGATGAGCTGTAATTAAGCTTCCTAATGCATATAAATTTGTTTCCTCCCTTTTGCTCTGACTTACATTCTTCATGCAGACTTTGTTCACTTTGCTAAGTGAGCCAGAGACAGGTAACAACAATTTCTGCTTTCTCTCCAGTGCTGCTGTGTCGGGAAATAAATCCGTGAGGGATTCTCACTGATGTGTGACATAGACATGAAAACTGGGATTATTCTGTGGTGAAATGTGGCTCACAGGTGGCCTGCAAAGCAGCTCTCTGGTCTGCGGTTACAGTGGTATCGACAGGAGAGCATGTCTGTATAAGAGCAGTAGTTATCTTTGTGGTATCAGGACTGATAATCATGTTTTCTTAGTTCCAGTACAGTCTTTCCTTCCCTTCTCTTCCTTCTACTAAACTATCTTTGATTAAAATTGAGATGTTGAAAGGATTAGCCAATTTCAGTTGTATTATCTTACCTAACTGATACAAAGTTATTTTTAGTGATGCTGTCAAATGTTGCTTTGTGTTTTGCCATGAAAGTAAAGTACTGAAAACAAACATTGCAAGAAGTACCCAAAGGATCTTGATTCACAAATGGTGCTTGAGGAAAACTCTTCTATTTTGTCAGATTCATTATTTTTTCCCAGAGACACTTGTAAGTGGCTCACTTGCAATTCTGAGCGACCAAGACCTTGTCTTTGGCTGGTAGGTGGGAAGGGAAAAATCATATGTTAAGGTTTGCTGTCCTAGCCTTTTGGTGTAGGGAATGAAAAATTGGGATAGATGGTCCTCTTATAATTGTGTGGATTTTAGAGGGTCAAGGGGTCGGGATTTTTTATTTGCTTTTATTCAGCCTCATGTTTTTGCTTGAGATAGATTAATGTTTTGTCTCAGAACAGCATTTTTATTTTGGTGTCTGTAAGGAGTTACAGCCTCCACAGGAATGGAAATTCCCCAAATAGAGAAGGCAATTGTTAGATGCTGTTGGACTTTGTCAGCAGGGTGCTGACATGGAGTCAGGGGAACATGGTTTCCTAGCCCTGACACTGAAGTATGGCAGTCACATCAGTGTATGTGTCATTTTGCTTCTTTAAGCTGCTTTCCTTCTTTGCATTTTGCCTCCTCCTTTGTTGTTTCTTTTTTTCCCTCATAAGATTTGCATGCAGTTCAAGGTCCATGTAGAAGTTATCCAGAGTTACAATTCCGTTACCTTTTTTGTTTCTCTGGACCCTGGGCCTGGGTAGGAATTCCTTCTCCTGTGTCGTGGCTCTGAACAAATCCTGCGTAACTTCTTTTAGAATACTCTTTAGTCTTTAGGTGACTTTGCTGATTGCTCAGTGCCTCCTGCACATAAAGCACTGGCTGTATGGTATGTGAAGTACGTCTTCTGATCTGCTCGTCTTCTCCCATCACCAGTCTTCCCGATAATGCTGCTGTTTGCAGCCATGCTCCTGCTTCTTCCCACCCAATTACCATTTTCAGCCATTCCACTGTCCATTTCCAAGTCAGATCAAAGCTCAATTATATGATTTGTCATGCCCTCACTCCTACTCACATTTTACTTTTCCTCATTTTATTATAACCTAACCCATTTGTTTGTTTGCTTGTTTTTTTGTCCTTCCCTTCCTAGACCTCTTTGCTTTTAAGTTTGTACATCTTTTACTGGTATCACATCTACCAGGCTTACAATAGTGGTTTTATCTGCAGTTCCAACGCCCTTTCTACTTTTAGATTACTTCCAGCAGGAGGTCTGTTGATCACAAACGTCCAAATAATTACTTACTGAGCAGCTATTTGTATTTTCTTTTACTTGTTTTGGACTGCTGGATTTCTGGAGCAGAAGATGTAGTTGTTACCTTTTTTCATAAGCTCTAAGTAAACATCAGTTGTACCACACTTTATAAAAAGCCTGATCTTTGCTTTTAATGATACTTCTGACTGTAGTATGCTTTGCCAGATATGGCTATGGAACTGTGCTTGTGTCTCAGAAAGGGATGTTCTAGCCTGTGGAAAAAGTAGTTTGAGTGAAAAGTATGATTGAGTGAACCTCACGATAATGCACATGCTTTACCAGAGTGTATTTTCCTGCTTTTCAGCATTCTCTCTCCCTCTTAGTTTGTCTGAGACATGTACTACAGCTGAGAATGAACTGAGAGATGGTCAGCCAGTCTCTGTTTTGCATGCATGTAGTTTTAATATGCTAAGAAACTTGCTTTGTCACACAGCATGCTAGCAGAAAGCGTATGTTATATTATAGAATTGTAAAATGAAATGAATCTCAGGCTTTCTTCTCCTTTTGTTTTGCAGAGGCAGGCAGCGGCCAAGATTATGTGACCTCAGAAAATCAGCTGCTCTATTACCCCAGTATTACCTACGCTATCATTGGTAGCTCTGTCATTTTTGTGCTCGTGGTGGCCTTTCTTGCCTTAGTCCTACATCACCAAAGAAAACGCAACAATCTCATGACCCTGCCAGTGCATCGCCTGCAGCACCCTGTGCTGCTGTCCCGGCTGGTGGTCCTTGATCACCCTCACCACTGCAGCGTTACCTACAACGTCAACAATGGAATCCAGTACATGTCCAACCAGACCTACCACAGGCCAGAGGATCTGGACTCGCCTCCATCATATTCAGAGGCCGTGCTGGACCAAAGGTATGTACAGCAGCTATTTCTGTTCTTACCAAAGTTTCACACTGCTTGCAGCTGTGTGCATCTGTGCTTCTGCTTCCTGTTTATTCTTGTTATGCTTTTGATGGTGATACTGTTTTGCTATTCTGTCAAGTTCACTTGCTTTTATTACCATTAAAGGCACATAAGGCAAACTTAAGTCATGACCTTATCACATGCAGTTGTGGAAGCAGGAAAACGCAGAGAAATGTATAACTTCTCTTATAATATCCTGTGCCGGTCTGGAGTCAACACCTGAAAACTTCATCTGGATTTTTTGCCAAAAGCTAGCTGGGTTGTAGGATATACTATTAAGAATATATATACACACCCTGGAGATGAGTGATAAATAAGTATATAAAGTGAAGAAATCTGCATTTCTTGCATCAAGAAATTGAATAGACCCTCTGCTTTATGCCACTTCTCTTTTTACAGAGAAGAAAAAACTCTGAAATGGAAATCTCTGTTCTTTTTTTCTTAAGCAGCTGAAAGTGCTTTGAAGTTTTGCAGGTGTGTTGATTTTGTATTGGTGACACTGGTTTTATTTGTACATCATTAACCTTTGTTTTAACCTCTGCCTGTAAACTCTTTCCAAATAGAATTGCTAGACTGACATCCTTTGTACATAAAAAGGGCATAGTAGGAACTTTGATGATCCAAATTGTTCGCTGTCACCCTGTCACCATTCTTTAGCACAGTCTCTGGGATCTAGGAATGATAATATAATCATTCACATTCCTATTCTCTGCTGATTTGGCAGCAGCTTACTTGTCTTAATGTTGACATTCATAATAGTGGTATCTTTTCATTGGTAAGGACAACTGAATGAACAGCAGTCCAGATTGTAATCGCTTCTCACCTGGGCCAATGCAAACCATCTGCAATTTCAGAACTAATTGCTCCCAATACCTGATATCCATCTGGTAAACCTTTTCATTCCTTTACTTTTTTTTACTATTAGAATCCAAAAACAGTTGTACCGAATCTAGTACCTCATCCTTTCTCTGCCTACTTAGCAGTTGCTTTGTATGTGGTATGCAAAAAAAAATTCTTGTGAAGAATTCAGTTCATTATTTATTTGTAGACCCTAAGCTGTTAATCTTTGTCACTTAGCAGAGGTTTCTTCAGAGCTTTGTGCTCACATCTTTATCTACAGATGCAAATCCGCTGCTTACCTTACTTCTTTTATAGTGCTTTCTCAGATTGTGTAAAAGTTACACAAGAAAAATTCTTATTTCTTTGTCTATGAGGGTAAGCTGAGGTTTGTTTGGCAACGCATGTCTATGAAAATCATTGTGGAATGCTAAGCAGGAAGTCATTAGTTCTGTTGCATCCTGACCAGAAACCTTGGTACCTGGTTGGTGCTTTGGAGGTTTTGGAATAACATGAATAACATGGGAAGGTCTGTTTAAGATCATCTGACAGGTTTCATTGTGGAAATGCCAAGAAATACTGCTCATTTTATTCTTTATTGGAAAAAAATCTTATGTATGGTTTTCCATGCCACTATTTTCAGTAACCTCTTACTACGTTATGTATCTTACAGCAGACCACCTTGGTTTGACCTTCCTCCACCCCCTTATTGTTCTGAATCTGAATCCCCTAATCAGCCAGATCTCCCTCCTTACCGGTCTCGGACAGGAAGCGTGGTGAGCACAGACACCCCCACGGCTGGAAGCCCTCTGGGCACAGACAGCGGTTGGGCGAGCGATGTTCGTGAGAGCATGGATGGCCACAGAACCCTTCTTGAGAGGACAGCAGATCCAAGCAATTCTCTGGTCAACCATGTTGATGAAAGAGAAGCGTAACTGCTCCAGTGTCTGGGACGGACAAGAAGAGATTCGCTTTTTCTAGTCCATGTGGGTTAATTTGCTGTTGCTATAAGGTTCAGGTAGACGTGTGCCTGAATAACAACTTGATTTGTATCCATGTTAAGTTAATTTTTTAATTCAGCATTTTGTGCTCATCAGAGACAGAGCTGTGACAGCTGAATGTGGAGTTGCATCAGTTCCTGACAGTATTCCTGCAAGCAGGTTCCAGTTCAGACTAGCAAGGGAAATGGTGCTATGCCAAAGAACTGATGTGCTGTATTTCTCAGAATATATACTGTATTTGAATGTATATATGTGCATGTGTAATATTGACAAACGTTGCACGCAAAAGCTATGCCAGATCTCTTGTTTCTAGACTGCTTCCTGTCCTCTGTGAACTGTTTCTTCCTGCTGCCTTGTGCCAGGTAGTGGTCATTGAAGCATGAGAGAGGCAGCCCTTTGGGAGGAAAGAAGCCTAGTGCTAAGCCCATTGGCAGCACTCAAATTGCAGAAGATGCTGTATATGGCCCTTCTCTTCCTTGCTTAGAACTTTCTCCTTGTGAATGTAATTTTCAGTTTTAGCTTGTGACAATGCAACAGCTCTCTAACTGTACAAACAAGTGTTTTTTGTTTTTATTCCTCCACCCCAATGCTAGTATTGAGGCCAAATTTGCATGGATTTTCTCAGGAAAACCACAGAGGTTGGCTCATCTGTCAGACTTCAGGCTGACCACAGAGTCAGTGAAGCTCAACACACCAGCGCAAGACTTCAAATGTGGCAAAACAACATCACTCTGTGTGTTTCTTCTTAAAAATAAAAAATAAAAATTAAAAAATAACAAGCAAACAAAACCAAAACTTTTCCAGCTACATCTTCAACACCAAAACCAGCCTGAAGCAAACACTCATCATGGAAGATTTCTGTGTGGATGACTTGTTCGTTAATTTCTAAAACAACTGAAGATGGGTGAAAGGTTTAGGGCTTGTCAGCGTATGGACATGCATGGATACACATGTTTAATACTGTATGTATGTATATACATCATGTGTTGCATAGGTTTAGTTCTGTTTGTATCTGTAGAACTTCAAAATCTTGACGTTTTTCTTTTGATGTTCTCAATGCTTTTTCTTAATTGTTTGCCATTATTCATATGCATTTGGTTCAAATTCTAGTTTCTTTGGATAAACTTTTATCTATTTTGAGTTTTTCTCTCTTAACTCTCAGAACAGTCTCCCATGAAAGATGTTTCAGTATACAGTGCTGAATCACCCACAAGAAAGCAACTCAAAGGTAAAGGTTTTCAGAGTGGAAAGAGGGAAGGTAAACTCTGAATTTTAATGCTGCTGCAGTGCTGTGCTTGCACTTAATATACAGAAGAGAATGCAGCGTATTTTTTCTTGTCCGGGGGGAAATTGGTCTTGAAGAATTATGTCTATTTGTCTATTAGACACATTTCCCACTCCTCATCTTCCAAGTAATGAACATTGTCATTAAACAGGCTTTGCTGTTTAATGGAAGAGAGGAAAACTACTGTTTTTCCAAACCCTCTGCTTTTTTTCCTCCCTGTTTGAGGTAACGTCTTTCCCCCAAAGGTTAGATGCGCAGGACTCAAGAATTCTTGAGTGTGGGTGTAGGTAGTGAGGTGATTAAAGTTCAGACTCAGTTCCAACACATAAAACTGAATTGGTTTTGTGTTTGTTTTTGTTTGTTTTTATTTCCGTGTCTGAAGTCATCTGACATGATATGTGGGAGGCAGGCACCAGATGGATTTACAAGCAGCGGTCCTTCCAGGGCTGAGATGACACAGTGGGGACACTGTAAAACTGTACTGCTGATGGTCTTGGCTTTGTTTGGAAATAGATTAACAGCAGCCTTTACTTAAGGGCTTAGGCAGCCTATTCTGAAGTGCACTGAAGATGATGCTACTTGGTCCTTGTAAAGCAACATGCAAGCCATGGTCAGATTCCATTCTTGGTGGGAGCTCAAGCAGTGTAGTTACACTGTCATGCATGAAGCAGGATTTGGCTAATTCATCAGTCCTTGCAAATTGCTAGGCAGACTGTTGTCATTGTCACGTAAATAGTTGCTCTATATTTTATATGTAAGTCAAACTTGAGTATAGCTGATGTGACAGCATGTGTGGGCACGGGAATGAGTGCCAAACCCTGCTGTCCCTCTTGTTGCCTTTGTTTAGGGATCTGCATAGCCTTCTGTAGGCAAACAACGTAATACATTAACAGAATTAGCCTTATTTTTTTATTGCAGTTTTTGAAACATTTTATTAGACTTCAGAACTTGCTACTGAAAAGTTTACAGTGGATTCATTAGACTTTCATTTCTCCTGTTTAAGTAGCCTAAAGCTATATTAGTGAAACTAATCATTGTGCCCTGTGTAGCTTAAGTGGCACATATCTCTCTTGCAGGCCTTCCATGAAAGACTGTATTTCACGTGTCTTTTGACACACAATATATGCAAACAAAACATGTTTGCCTTTGGAATCTAAAAAACATTATCTTGCATTGCTAAGAAGTAGGAAAAGAGTGGAAATAGCTTGCTGCTTCTGTCTGTGTCAGTCACTGTCATTTATGTACATATATATATATATATATATATTGAAGATACACTTTCAGGTTGTATATATTCGTGTCACTTTTGCATTAAGATAATCCATTTGGACTTTAAAAAAAAAAAAAAAAAAGAAAAAAAGGAAGAAGCATTCTAAGTGGTGTGAATTTTTCCCTTCCAGCTAAGGGTGTATTTATCTTTGTATAGGAATCTTTCAGTTTTTTAGAATTCAGTTATAAAAGGAGATTGTGCCTTTCTGACTGTATGTTGGTTTGGGGGGGCTGTTGTTACATATCATTGTCTAGAGATCCAAAAAGAGAAACAAGCCTTGTCTTCCTCTTTGTTGTTAATTTTGGGGACCACTTTGAGGAGTACGGGAGTTCAGTATTTTGTTCCAAAAAGGCATGCTAAAACTTTAAGAAAGGTTTTCATCTTACTCCAGTTTTCTGGTACCTATAACAGATTTGCTAGCTGGTTTCTTTGGAAATTGCTGTAGTATCATACTGAAATTGTTTATAACATGTCACTTCTGGTAGTGTTAGTACAGCACTGCTGCATTATTTAGTGGAATCTTTGGAGAAGTGTGGTAGCAACAACTGCACTGATTAAATTAAATATTTCATTGAAAATCCTGCAGTTCCTTCATCTTCGTCTTGTAAGGTTGAAGCTAAACGTTCATGAAGTGCCGTGTAGTGGGACTTCTGTAGCTGGTGAAGTTGAAATTAATCATTCTATTGTTTGTGATTGCTCCTAACCTTTTAATTTGAGGTGCGTCCTCCAGGAGCTTTCCTTTATACTTAATATTTAAACAAATTAATGTTCTTTCAAAGGCCTATTCTTACACAAGTAAAACAGATTTCTCCAGAGTCAAATTCTGATTCCTGATCTGTATTCAGGGGTGACCACAGTAATGAGTAGTTCCACTAAGAGCAGGGATTAATTAATAAATTTGATTTCAGTAAAACAGTTGGAAGAAATGATTGCTTGAGGTAAATAAAGGAATTGGGTTTAGGCTGTTGGAAATAAGATTTGGATTACCTTTAAAAACCGTGTATTTAAATTTCAGAAGTTTTGATTGTCTTTAACCTTTGTAGAAGTCAGAGTGCTGTGTATTTTAAAACGAAGCCATTAGTGAATCTGCTTGATAATAATATGAAGTTCCTTGTATGGCGAATTATAATTTACCTCGCTGGTACTGTGCTAATGGAAAACTGGCAGTAATGTTTTTAAAAGTGAGCCTCTGAACAATTTTCTCTGCTCGCGCCTGCAGTGGCATACATGGCAGTGCTGTGACTGCATTGCGATTTTTCAGTAACTCTGCACTGGTTCTTCCTCTCCCTTTAAATCAAATCAGTTTTATTTACACCACTTCACTTTGATACAGCTAATGGGACCCTCGTGATAGATTTAGAAGTTGGGTGGAGGAAAGAGATGATGACTCTCATTTTAATTAATGCTGCAGCTTGTTAATCTTGTGTGCTTTACTTTTTAGACATCTTAGAAAAGACAAATGGTTTTAGTAGATAAGAAAAACTATTAATGATAAAAAGGATAGAGGGACACTGATTCTGAATTTAATTTTTAATGAATATTTAAAATTGTCTAAATGAAGGAAGAATTTAATGCTGTATTTTTAAAAGTGGTGATCGAATGGCAAGTATTGTTTTTAACTGTTGCTCATTGGAAGCTATTTTGCATATATGCCTGGAACTAAAATTGTAATCAAGTGCTCTTCTTGCAGTTCATATGAGACCTGAAATATGTTGTATTAGCACAAGGTTGCATTGCATTTATGGACTAAAATATGTAACTGCAGAAAGAATTTCAGTACCATGCTGGATTCTGCTTGGAATGTATCTCAGTACAAAACTGTGGCCTTTATTTGTCCCTTTTTCACTGATTTGAGATTTTTTTTCCACTTGAAATTAAGATGTTGTATGAGAGCTTTAAGGGAAGCTGCGTTGAAACCCAACCTTGTCATAAACTTTTGTAAACTGGGTATCCTCAAAAATGTACTCTGTATTCCTGAATAAAGTTGGTGTTTTAATACTGCTCACAAGTGAAGATGTCCCCTATCTCACGAAGCCTCTTCTGTGAGGCTTCATCCATCTTCTCCTGCATACAGCATTAAGTTTTGTTAATCGTCGTGAGTTTTAAACACTATTTTTAAAAAGAAAGTGATAATGGAAACCCATATGTGCATATATGTATAAGAATATACTTATACATATGTCTTATATTTATACTAATGAAAATTGCCTGATTTCTTTCTCGTCTTCCCTTTTGGCTGGTGCTGTCAGAGGCAGCTGAAGCAGCCCTGTTACATTGTTCTCTGCTCTGTAGCAAAGCTCTTGAGACCTTGACAGAGGTCTGTGCTCAGCACCAAGTGCTGCACATGCATTTCCTAGCCGAGCTACAGGGCCTTCACCATTACCTTCTACCTCTCTCTTTCCACCTTCCTCATTTCCACCGCTTGCATCCCCAACACAGCATCCCCATACATCTCCATCTCCTCCATCCACGTGCCAGATGCATGAGCCAAGATGGCATTGAGGCGTTCTGGAGAGTTTGCATGTCTGGCTGCAGTCCCATGGCAGGGAGCTCGCCGGGCTCGTTGCGATGCCAGCCTTGCCATCATCGTGGGAACACTCAGCCCCACCAGCTCCAGATCCACCTGACATCTGGATCACAGCCGCTCTTCCTATGGAGGTACGTGGTGAGATGATCTTCTCAAAGGGCTGGTGTTGAGAAATGCCCTTTATGTTACGAAATTTATTTCACATACTAGGAAAAATAGGTCCACATATTATGTCTAAATATTTCTGTCTATGAAACCACGTAGAAGCTGACATATTTCACTTCCGTGACTCATCTCCACTCACTACCTTGGCAAAGGCATGTCCATTCTATCTTTTATTATCCTGGTTAATTAAGTCACATACCCTCACCAAAATGCTCAGACAGTTATCTTTGTTTGGCGCTGGCAGACTGCCCCAGAATAAAGAGCTGTGGATTCAGAATTCACTGCGGCACCACAAGGGAGAGGGATCTGTTGATGCTGCCACAATGCAGCCTCTGCGGGGGGGAGCTTGGAGCTGATTCACTCAGTCATGTCCCAGCAAGAGCTACGCTCCAGAAATGTTGATTCAGAAGACAGCTGCTTATGAAAACAAATAGCATGCTCTCCAGCTAAGCTCCCTGATTAATCATTTTATTCTCTCGGCTTCCAATTTGTTTAAAGACCTTAATTTTTACACCTCAAAAATTAAATATGCTGTTTATTTCAGCAGTGATTTCATGACATCTTTTCTTGCTGTTTTGTAGCAGTCTCCTAATCTTTCAGCTTCAGTTATCTATTGGTGAGAGAGCTAAGAGGCTTTTCACCTTTCTGGAAGCGATAGTCCAAAATGAAGTGCTGTTATTACTTCGAGTAAAGGCATCTTTGTGTGGAAATTCGCAGCTCTTCAAGTTTACTTTTCATAGCAAAGTTGAGGGTATGCATTTTGCATAAAGCCCTTTGGAAAAGTGCTGTATTGATCTCTAGGGACTTAAATTTTCTGTTTATCCACAAAGCATAGTGTGAATAACTAAACTGAAATGTAGTGCTCTGCTTCCCAAAATCCCAACAGTACTCCTTACAGCCATGTTGAGGGAAGTGCTGCAGGGAGTAGGCAGTGCAGTTATGCAGTTATGTGGCCAATCCAGCCCGTAGTATTTCTGTGGAAATGTGCCCAAAGTGGTTCAGTATTACAGTTGCTTTGGTAATGGATGCTACGCAGAAAACTTATTTCACTGAGAATTGATTTGGGACCATCAATTCTTATACTTTTCCCAATAGCTGCTATACAGGTAAGTACTTTTTTTAGTAGTGTTCACCTAGGTTAATTCATACCAGTTGTCTGAAGTAAAAAAAAAAAAAAAAAAAGTATATATATATACTGCATTATACTGCATTCCTTGATACCACAGCCAGCAACTCCTTTGAATTTAGACCATGATCATTCCTCAGTACAAGAGACTTCATCTGTGTAAGAACAATAGGGGTAATAGTCAGTTTGATCCAAAACAGCTCATTTCTAGAACAGCATTCTGGCAGTGTCAGCTGGATGGAATGAATGAGTGGTCTATCACAGTTACTTGGAGTACTTGCTGTTTCCTTGACAAATGCTAGTCATGTCACGGCACAGTGATGAAGAAGTATGATGTTGTTTTTGACAGTAGATTTTTCTTCTCATTTGTTTGTGACAGGGTTATCTTATAAAATGCTGTTTGCCCAGCAATGCATTCAAACAGCTCTTGCCTGTGCAGGTTTGGAGTAGGAGAAAGAATATATGGTTTGTTAGTTGATACAGGTGTAACCCATGGAAGTCTTACACTTCCATGCTAGTAACTCTTAGGAAGGAGGAGAGACCTAAATTTTTCACATCAGAGATAATTTTATCACTTGTCACTGCTGAATATGCAATGAGAGACACAGAATTTACTGCTCAGTACTTTCCGGAGAGGAGCAATGTTTTTCATACAGCCTTTGTTGTGTACCACAGTCACTTGTAGCATCGTGGATCTGCTTATCGAGAATATTATGATCCAAGTCACAAGGAGATGTCTGGGTATATCTGAGACGATTTCTTCTCAGTGGTGAAGGCTCCCTTTCCCTCCCTTTCCAGTGTGTTGTTCTATATGGAAGTGGGGGGAATTTTTTTCCCCACCACTTTTGATGAAAACTGGTGTTTCCAACTTGTGTTTTGTTTCTATATTCCACCCACTGTACCTCTTGAAAAAATATTTAAATGCTGCATGCTAAATGTGTTTTCAATCTTAGGAAACATCATTGATAATTGGCTGTTCTTTGCTGGTTTCTGTTTACCCAAATGCAAAGGCAAGAGCTGTGTTTATTGTTATCCCTTGGTAGGCTGTGCAGAGCAGAGGAGTTAGCAGAACCAATGAATTATCCAAAGTGGATTTAGAGAATGCTCTGCTACAGAGGTAATGGAGCTGGCTTTAATACCTGCTTTCAAGGTGTTGTATTAGATATGCTGGTTCAGGCATGGATTACGTAGATAATGCCATGACTTGAGCTTCTGTAGAAATAAAAGAACGCCCCTGCCTGAGAGATGCAGCAGATGTTCATTAGTGAAGCTGGTCTCCAGAAGCTGCGAGGCCAGGCTTGGTAGTTCCTGTGCCCTGAGCCCCAGTGGGCCTGGTGCTGAGTTTGCAGTCACAGCTATAAGGAATGGCTGTTGGTGTTTCTGAAGCACAAGTTGGTTTGGCTGGTATCTGACACTGAAATATGTGCGTGTGGTATGATAGTCACCTTCCTTCAGGAAGATAGATGGAAATCATTTGCTGCGTTGAAGTCGTATTTCTCAAGTAGCTAACCACTCTGGTTAATCTTACCAGCTAACTCCTCTCCCTTTTTCTTCTTTGAAGGGGCAGGAGGAAGATTTGCACGGTTTCATGAGTGATAACACCTGAAACACGGATAGACACCAAGATTAGTTTTGGAAATAACAGAACTGTCATCTTCCAAGATGCAGCCTCCAACCAGTGGGAAGTGCTGTCTTACCCATCCATTTATAATCTGCTGAATCCATTCAATTTTGCTTGCACATTTAAGAAAAAGGACAAAGGAGAATCTGCACCTGCAGGTAACTCTTTCAAGTTCTCTTCTTTTTTTTTTTTTTTTTTTTTTGGTTAAAATTAGGGGAGCAATAGAAGCAAAGTTTTGAATTCCATATTTTCTTCTAATCTCCAGGTACTTGTTTGCATTATTTATATTTGCAGACTTACAGAATTCTGTATAGCTCAGTGTGTGGAGGCTTCTGCTCTACAGTAAGTTTCCATTTAATCTCAAGCAGGTATTTCTGTAGGTTTCCACAGGTTAACAAATATGCGGCCTGTGAATGTCTCCCAGAAGTCCAGAAGTGAGCAGGGTGTATTGAGAGTGGTTGCTGGTGTAGAGATGCAGCTTGCCAGTCCAGTGTGTGAAGGGCAGGAGTATGGGTGTGGGGACTATAGAAACACCTTGTCAGATGCCTGACACCATGATTTTTTGCTTTACACAGTTGGGAACGGAGCAGGGGGAGGTAGGAAAAAGAAGTGTCTTTTTCAACCTGAGCATATCAGTAGCCCAAAGTGATATGGGAAACTACAGAGAGAAGAGAGAGCAATCTGGCTGCCTTTTATGCTGACATTTGAAAAATGATCTCAAGATAGTGCTTTGAGGGTGACTTGGTAATATTACTTAAGAAAAAGAAGAAAGCCCCCACTTTCTTTCCTCGGTACTAGTACTGAGAATGAGAATATTAATATGGGGGAGACTGGTTTGAAATGATTGTTTTTTTTCTTCCTTTTAAAATATAGGCAAAGTTAATTATGGAATAGCAGTAGTGTCTGATCTGAAGCAGGCACTTTCATCTCACCTCTTGCTTTTAATATCACTGTGCTCTTATCTCTGCTTGGAGGAAGGCATGTGGGGGGGAAAACCCTGGTGCTCTCGTGGCCTGGCAGTCACTAGATGAATGGGATGCCTTGCAAGAGTGAGGCCATTAAAAACTGCCAGCAAAAAATTAATAAGAGCTTAGGAACTAATTTCCCATGGTGATGGTGACCAAAGGAAGAAAAAAATCTGTGGTCTGCAAAAGACAAAGAAAAACTATAAAAATTTAATGAGCCCAACTACTTTAATACTGTCCGAAATACATTCAGCTTTAAAGACAGCGGAAGCAGACAGGAACTTGGAGATGTGATGGGTGTTTCCCCTAATGTCCACTGACAGCCTTAGTCATACATTAACTCTTCCTTTTGTTAAACAAACCTAAGTTGCAACTATTAATTATTCTTAAGGGTCTGCCCCTATGCTGGCGGCATTTTTTGTATTAATCTGATAGAGCAAGCAGAGGAGCTCTGTTCCTAGCATAGAGAAGCTTGATGCACAGCAGTGAGAGCTTTGGGCAGGTGGCTCAGGTGGGGAAGAGGCATGGATATGTCACACCTAATGCAAGGTCTTATGGGGTCAAGGATCTGGCTGGGGTGATGGGAAAGAAGTGCTGCTGGCTGCTGATCACAGCATGGCAGAAATTGCCTTCGCCTTTGGTTTTCCCTTGGGGGCATGTGGTGAGAGCCTGGGTGGCCTGGGAGCTGCCCTGGGGATTGGTGTGCCAGAGAGGGCCCTGTGGAGCAGCCAGCTGTGAAGCCCCATGCTTAGTCTGTGGAGTGCTGTGTGGTCCCAGCAGCTTGAGGTGTTGGCCTTGATGTCTGAGTTACTTGAGGACTTCACAGTGTTTTGAAGAAGTATCTTTTTCTTTCTCAGTGGAAGCTGAGTCAGAACTGAGCATGTACAGTCTGTAACAGGTTCATCCCTTGTTCTGCTGAGTTGATTTTTGCTGGTGACTTGGTGCTGCTGCCCTGCTTCTGAGGTAAGAAAATCTTTAAGTAATTAAAAATTCCTAGGATTTTTATTTTTGGGGCCACTGAGACAAGATCGGTATGACAGGAGATCTTGAACTGCTGGGTATTTTCCCAACAAAGGTTTTGGGCTTCTCCTCTTCCAGTGACTGAGGATAGTAGCCAGCCCCAGAGGTAGGGCAGTCTGAAAGCCCTTCATGTTTATGGGAGCCAAGCACAGAGTAACACCAGTTCATCTTCACCAAATGGACTGTGACAGATCCAAAGGGAAAGGAGAGGAAGTGAAGGGGAGGAAAAAAAAAAAAAAAAAGATTACATCACATTATGGCTGTGACATCAGCTAACAAAAGCTTGGAGCTCTTACTGTTAAACATGAAGTGTCATCAGGAACTGAGTGTGTACCATGGTCTCTGGAGAGTGGCTGACTTCCTGCCGTCAACTGAGGGGTGCCTGCGAAGGGCCATTGAAGGACAGGGGAAGCTTTTCCCCACTGCTCTCAACTGCTAGGGAAATGTCATGGGTTCTGTCTGCCCTCGTCTCTGTTTAGTCTGAGAGCTTAACGAAGGGATCCTGAAGCATTTCTTATCTTTCTGAGACCCCTGGATAGATCTCTTCTGTCAGCTTTGTGTGGTGCTGCCTTTTGGTGAGGAGCTGGTGCTTCAGCGCACACGTAGTCTGTGGCGGTCTGCCCCTGCTTTCCTTTTACATCTGCCCACCTGACTGCTTTGCCTTTGGAAGGCCATTCAAGCAGTTAAAGGCTATCGGTGAAGTTTTCTGGGAACGGTTCTATTGCTGTTGGGGATGGGATGATCTTGTATGGGTTTTGTCCCCCAGCTTGCAGCCAGGGAGCGGCTCAGGGTTTCTGCATTGCTGCAGCTTGCAGCCAGGGAGCGGCTCAGGGTTTCTGCATTGCTGCAGCTTGACTGCCTGCTGGCCTTTCCTGTCCCACCAGAGATCTCTCACATCTTTAGGTGGGCAGTGGAAATAGGTGAGTAAGTGTCTTTTCAGAGGCAGCAGTGTGGAGAAGTCTCTCTTTAGAAGTATGTCAGCAGTGACTTGGTAACACCAGGCATTCCCAGAGGTTGAGTTGGGGCACAACTTACCCTTTATTATGCAGTGATTTTTTTGGTAGTCAGTGGCCCATGCAGATAGAAGTAATATCATACTGCTCTGTAAGAAGACTGAATTCATGCAAATTATCAGTCTATTAGTTACGATGTGTTTGTGTTTTTCAAGTAAGTAAGTTTTACCCAGTAGGAAATTACAGCTTCGGCTGTGGTCTGGTGAGTCTAGGAGTCACAGCCTAAGGAAGAACCTGTCAAATCCAGGATCTAAAACAATAAAACATCCGAGGTGGTTACTGCTGAGTTAATGGCCCAGTGAAGAAACAAATCACTGTGTGCCACTTCATGCTTCTCATCTGCCTGATCTCTTCTTCTTCCCAGCAGTCATGCTGCCTTCATCTCACACACTAATCAAATGCAATCCAATACAATCAAATACAATGCAATAGTCTCCTTTTCCTTTTCAGGCTAGGCTTATTTTTAATCCTGTGCTACAGAACAAGGGGGCACGCAGACATGAAGCTGAATTCATTGCTCTCCCTCTGGGTCAACAGAAATGACTCAGGTCTTTTCCTAGATCAATGAGTTGCCATCATATCCCAACAACCTTGCACTCCCTGGTAGAGGAGTGAAAAATGATTCTTTGTCTTCTGTGTGGCACTGGCACTGTGGCTGAAAAACGTTCCCCCTTTTAAACTTGCTTATTTTATGGCATTGTGTATTTTTCTGTATCAGCTGTGTGATGGCCCTCTCATTAATCAAACATGGGCTGGCCTATGAACTGCTAACCTTGAGCAATTTCTGCTAGATTTTACCCCAGTGAAGGAAGGACAGAAGGGGATGGTTATTCTGGGGTGGTGTCCCTTAACACGTTTCTTTGCTGAGTGCTCAGATAAATAAGTGAGCTGATCGAGGATTAGCCTGGTTATTTAACAGCCTGTCTTTGAAATGCGGGAAGCATTTACTCTTGTTTGGTCTCAGAGTAGACTAGTGATTCTCAGTTAAAGGTAAAAGAGAAGGGGAAGGAATCAAGAAATTGGCTCTTGTTGCTTTTAGAACCAGTTTCTGAAAAATATTGCAGAAAATTGTCATTTTCCAATTGATTACGTTGATTTCAAAGCTTCTAATTTTTGAATGTTGAATGCCCTGCTAAATACACTCTGCTCAAGTGAGACTGCTAATGAAACAAACAGATGGTGATCTGAATAGAGTAAAAGGACATAATAAAGATATGTTTTGAAATAGCCAGACAGAGCAAATTGCACAGGAGATTGGGGAAAAGAAAGTGATGAAAAACTGAGAACAAACCATTACCGGTATTGATTTATTCACCAAGTGGATCAGTGTGCAAGTGGGAAGGTGTTTGATTATATTCCATAATCTGATCTTCAAAAAAAAAAAAAGCCAGAAGAGTCATTTTTTCTTTGCTGAAAGTGTTGGGGGTGATGGATGGGAAATCAGAGTCTTGATGAAGCACAGGGGCCGGGCAGTGCCTGTGCATCTCATTGCTGCCTTGGGAGCTGTGTGTATCAGCAGTGACATTTGTTTGCTTTCTATTTTGAGCATCACCTGAGGGGAGGAAAGAAAAACAAAGCAAAATTTCCCACACTAATTTTGTTTGATTCTTTCCCAAACTAACACAATTTGAAATGTGCTAGAGGTTCTGGGAGGCCTGGGGCAGATGCTACAATTGTGACCCTCTGAATATTGGGCTGTATTGTAGCAAGCAGAGTATCCTCCCCCAGTCAAGAAAAGGGCTGGCAGAGGATGGCTGCTGGGATGGCTGCTAAGATGGCTGCTGGGCTGCTTGCCTCGTTCATTGCTCTGCTCCTACTCCCTCTGCAGCTTCACTGGGCTGCCTGTGCTCTGTGTTAGCAGGCTGGCTGGTGCTGCACCTCGGTCTTTTGGTTAAGATCTGTAGGCCACTGTGAAGTAGAATGGCAGGAAGAAATAATTTACTTATGTCGGGTCTGAAATAAAAACAAGTAGTGGGCTGTGTCCCAAAACAGCAGGCTACTGCAGGACATGGCAGTGAGGATGCCCATGAGAATGCTATTGCTGCTCATCCCACTTTCCCCATCCCAGATCATTGCAGCCCACTTGGCTAACCCATACTGTAGTGCCTGAAGCAGTTAATTAGCTGCTGAGCACTTTGGAGAGTGAAAATTATTCACTTTGGACTGAGATGAAAATCCTTAGGATGGAAAGTGAGAAAGTGATACTTTTGTTTCAGGCCTAGCTCCTAAAGCTGGGAGGACAGGAATGAGATTTAGGTTTAGCAGTGGATTAACCCATGCCCTCATCTGCACTCAGCTACATACAAGGGACATACATCTCCAAAGCTTTGGTATTTCAGCATCTGATGTTCTGATATTTCCAGTAAAAATTAATTGTTCTCTGCTGTTGGCTGAAGTCTCCACTGCTCCCTCATTAGCACACAGTCAAATGCTTCTCTCTTCTGTCTTGCAGGACTGGGACTCTGTTTTATTTGTTTGGGTTTTGTTTGCTGTGAACAAAACCGCTCCTTGTTTCTGTGATTGTACCCCAAAGGGCAGAGGCTCATCAAAGGACTGTTTTGCAGCCTGTCTGTGGGCATCACCTTGTGCCTTCCCTTGCTGTGTGGTGAATTCTCAGGCTTCCTCCCGCACCCTTTTCTCTGATCATTAAAATTGTTATGATCATGTCTCTCATGGCACAAATAAATAGGAGCTGTGGGTGCCCTGATGGCCCAGCTTACTGCAGCTCATTCTGTGCCAAAACAACTGTGACAGCTGCTCGGTCTCACAGAGAAATGTCAGTATCACATTGTGCCTTCTGCTAGGTTTATAGAATAATAAATATATGACTTAAGAGCAAATTCCTCTTGGGCAGATACATGTTAAGTCCTCAGCACATGTACCCACTGCTATCTGTGTGTAGAGAACTGATGCCATGTTCAGCACAGAAATTCTTTCTGTGATGATACAGTGCAAGAGTTCTGAGATAGTGAGATACCCGAAGTCCCCTGATTCAAGCCTTATGTTATAAGTCCAGACTTACCCTCCGTTGAGCTGTCTGTTGTTGGTCACCCTGAAGTCGAAGACTGAACTCCTCTCACGGGGCACCAATTGCCTCATCCAGCGCAGGGAGGACAATTTGAGGCAAGGATCCTGTGATGCTTCTACACTCCTTTATTACAATATCCATGTATATACCATACATGCAATCAGGTTAGGAATGCAGTCATCAAGCAACCCGCTTTCTGCTTGTCTAGAAGGCTATTCTAGTATTACACCTTGGGACAAGTGTGTGTACACTCCTGTTCTTTTGTGCTCCTTGCACGCAGTGTGACTGTTTTGAGTCCCATCCTTTCTGGCATTTGCCCAAGGTGGTGTTCCACCCACTCTTCCACAATCAAACTCCAGCTGCTGACCTGACCCTTGTCATGCTTTGATCCATAAGATTAATATCATGCGTTGTTTTTCTTTCATGTTAGTTCCCTATGCTTTGATCGTGCGTTGTTTTTCTTTTATATTAGTTTGTTATGTTTAACTATTTTAATTAAGAAACCAGTTGTCAGTCAGCACAGCTACATTTCCCACTTTTTTGTTTAAATTGATGGGGCAGCAACTGAGGCAGTCATCGGTGGAGCAGGCAGTGAAGGTTCTGTCTTTGGGATTGCTGCTGTACTTTTGTTATCATTGATTGCCAGGTACTGCATCTCTGGAATTGGGTTGAAGTGCTGATCTTTCCAGCTCATGATATGGCTTAACAGATGACTCAGGAATCCAAAGAGTACCTGTGGGAGATAGAACACAAGCATACCTTCTTCCCCATCTTAATAAAGATACAGGCTCTTTCCAGTGTGGGGTAAGTTGATCTTTAAGCAGTACTTTTGGATAGGGAGCTTGTAATGTTTTCTGCTTAAAGTGTTTCTTAAGTGCGGGGAATCCATGATCATCACAGTTTAAAAATTTAAAGTAAATATACTGTGTTGTCAAGTTTCTCTTGAAGGAAGATCATATTCTCCCTTTTTTGTTTAAGCAACGTTGTTTTCAGACTCGCATGCATGCCTTCCATGATACTTTCACCCTGAGGATAATATGGACTGCCAAATGCATGTGACGCAGACCATTGCTGTAAAAACAGCTTTACCCATTCTGATTTAAACCCAGGTCCTTGGTCTGTTTTTATGCTTCTTGGCAGTCCCACTGTCGCAAAACAGTGAGACCAGTGTCTGCATACACGAGTTGCCTTTTCACCAGGTAGTGCAGAGGCACAAACATGTTTAGAAAATGTATCAACCGCAACATGGACGTATTTTAGTTTTCCAGACTCCAAGATGTGTGACGTCCCTCTGCCACATGTCATTAGGATGTAACCCCTGGAGTTAAGCCCTGAAAGGGACACTGTAACTGAACTGTTGATGATCTGCACGAGCTCTGAGAACGTCTGTTGCTTGTGAGCACCTCAAATCAAACTATTTCATTAGGCAGCAAGTGGTTTGATGCAAAAAGGAGTTGGACACAACTGCCATCTGAAATTGTGTGGTCATTACATTAAAACCGTAGTTTGATGCTAATCTATCAGCAACCTCATCTCCTTCTGTTATGGGGCCTGGGAGGCCAGAATGTGATCACACATGCATAATAAATACATTTGACATCCTACTCTGTAGATTAGCCCTTATGGAAAGCAACATGTTTAGCAAAGTTTTATCATCAGTTTTGATCGATGCATTTTCAGTGCACATTACAATTCCGACTGCATATTGTGAGTTGGATACGATGTTCAAATCCCTTTCTGGAAATGTCTCTAGAGCCATCTGAATAGCTCCCAATTCAGCCTTTTGGATGCATATCCTGATCCTTTAATATATTTCCAGTTGTCTTCTTCCCTCCACCAGACCACTCCCTGTCCTGTTTTTGATGAACAAAAAGACTGTTTAGTGCATCTTTGATGGGCATCAATAAAACTGTACATTTAAGTGTTAGAGGTGGGTCTTGCTGGAGTGCAACAGTTTGTAAGCTGGTGGTGTAAACTCAATTTCTCCTAAAAAATTGGCCTTTGAACATTGAATGGATGTACTGTTACGATGCAACTGTTCCCATTGCTCCCTGTTAAGAGTCACATGAATGATATCAGGATCATTCCTTGTCCATCAGGTCCTTCTGCGTATGACAGTGCCTGACTCTGTTGGGGGGCCACCAAACCCCTACTCCAAAGCTGCAACAGGGGCCAAAGGCCACTGTAAGAGCCATTAGTTTTTATCTACAATTTTAATATCAGCTCCTGTTTCTATTATGCCTGTCGTGTTCTTACCATTCATTGTTATCGATAATGTGGATCAATTTTATGATAGTATCATTGTCCAATTTACCGTATTATCTGAAATGCTTCCAAATGCACCTGTTTCTCTGGGCCAATTAATGACTTTGGATACCCAGTAAGGAATTAACAGCAATTGAGCAATATATGAGCCCCTGGATAAGTGGTGGAAACCTTGCAGTGGGGTCACCATGACCTTTTTCATCCCAGTAAAATCCAAATTAGTCACCACCAGGAGTACAAATAAACCTGCTGTAGTTGCACTGGATCTTCCCAATATCAGTCCCATTGTTCCATCAAGGAAGGGACCAGATACCACTTTGTCAAGTATATAGACCTTCCCTAATCCCTGCAAATTTACATCTGAGGTAATTCTAAGGTTAAGTCCTGCGCTCCGTACAATGGCTGCTGCTAAGTCCATGATGGTGCAGTTTCCTTGGTGTTTGTCAGATAAGTAGGGTTGCACTCTGTCCCTAGGGGATATGAGGCTACAAAGGTCCAAGGATTTTTTGGGGTGCTGGACCTCTTGCCTCTCCTCTGATTTCATGAAAGAGGTCTGCCACTCTTTTCATATTTAGATTTACACTGATTAGCCCAATGATATCCTTTCTCACATCTTGGATATGGCTCTTTAGATCAATTTCCAGATATCTTTTTTGGGTAATTCTTTTTTATAATATCTATGATCTCCACAATTAAAACATATTTTGTTTTTGACACCTTGTAGTTGCTGCTGTATTGCAGCAGCCAACACAATTGCCTTATGAAATTCTGTACCAATATTCTGACATGCTTTAACATATTTACCTACTGCTCTGGCTTTTACTCTCAGCAGCGTGAGAACTGTCTGGCAACCTGAACTGGCATTTTCATGTGCCAGTTGTAAAAAAAAGTATTCCTGCAGCCTCCAGGTTATCAGTTTACCTAGAAATGGCAGCTCGAAGTCTATGAACAAAAGCGACATGTAGGGTCTTGTTGTATTTTTGCAAAATATGCCCACCAGATTTTTTAGTCAGGGACCCCCTTCCATGCCTTTAAAGCCAGGTCTGTAGCTTGAGAGAATAACCTGATCCTACCTACCCTATGTCAGACATTAGAGAAATGACCTCTTCCAAATAATGTATCAGCACTAGCAGGGTCTTGATCATTCAAATTCTGTACAGCTTCTGTATCACTAAGTCAGAATATTCTATTTGCCAAACAGCATATTGTGCTGACGTCAAGGCTGTTTTTACTAACACTTTCTAATTCCAGAGAGTCGTGAGATAATCATTTCCCACTGATTCAAATATCCCTACTGTAAAGTGCTTCTGAAGCCTGTTTTCCTTTATATCGTTTTCCAACTCTTTAAGTATAAAGGAATTCTTCATGCTGTGGGGGTTGCTGTTGTCTGTATATTGCAGGAGAAGCACTAAAGTCTCCTACTGCAATAGACACCTTCACGTATTTCTGAATTGTGGAGGAAAAGTCCTGCGTTCCCCCAGGACCTCTATATGGGGGTGGGATTGGGGGCCGTGTTAGAGGCAATGTTTAAATCCTAGGCATTGGTGATGGTGGTAGCAGAGGGGCTAGAGGAGGTTTCTACGGTTTTGATTTTTCTTACACTTTATTGGTCAGTATTTCCATCTACATCTCAATTTCCTTCTGTTCAGATTCACTCTCTTGTTCTTGCATAGTGTTTTTTTTCTGCAAAGGCTTAAGAGCAATGTATAATATACGCCACGTTAGCAAATCCTACTCAAGTATGGAAAACCCTAACTCCCTTCTGGTAGTAAAATGTTCTCTACCCTTTTCCATATATCAGTATCATATGTTCCTTCTAATAAAAACCAATTACAATATTCTTTTTCTGTTATCAGAAGTTGCTACAATTGTCTTTCCTATAGCTTAAAATTGGCAGCTTGTGAAATCGGCTGCAAAATTTGTGCATATAAGTGCTATGGTTTAGTCATAGCCTGACTCATAGTAGACTGGTGTGAGAATTTTCCTATTTAGATACTGGAAGTCCCCTGATTCACTCCTTAATTTTATAAGTCCAGACTTACCTTCCGTCGAGCTGTCTGTTGTTGGTCACCCTGAAGTCGAAGACTGAACTCCTCTCACGGGGCACCAATTGCCTCATCCAGCGCAGGAAGGACGATTTGATGCGAGAATTCTGTGATGCTTCTGCACTCCTTTATTACAATATCCATGTATGTACCATACATGCAATCAGGTAAAGAATGCAGTCATCAAGCAACCTGCTTTCTGCTTGTCTAGAAGGCTCTTCTAGTATTACACCTTGGGACAAGTGTGTGTACACTCCTCTTCTTTTCATAGTGTGACTGTTTTGAGTCCCGTCCTTTCTGGCATTTGCCCAAGGTGGTGTTCCACCCACTCTTCCACAATCAAACTCCAGCTGCTGACCTGACCCTTGTCATGCTTTGATCCATAAGATTAATATCATGCGTTGTTTTTCTTTTATGTTAGTTTGTTATGCTTAACTATTTTAATTACGAAACCAGCTGACTCTCAGCACTGCATTAAACTGAGGCAACAACAGCCATCAGTAAGGCTCTGCATTACTAGAGGGTATGTAAAAGCTTATATTGTATGCCATGGTCTTGAGTACAAAAGCTGGGTTATCAAGCACTGGGCATGTTTAAATGTCTAGTCAAAAATACGGTGAAGACATGATTGTTTTTCATTACATGCAGTCAGCTTTTTGCTGATTTGTGCTTCATGAACCTGATACTACTGATTGAGTTGAGACAATTCTTTGAGCTAAAACAAGTTCTCCATTTTGGCCCATTGCAGCACAGTGGCACAGCAGCTGAGGTATCCAAGTAGCCATCAACTACTTTTATTAATGAGTGTTGCTACCTTTTTGGAAACAGGAGGTTGTCATCATAGTATTGCATAAAATTGAATTTTGCCTTTAAAACACTTCTGATTCACCAACTCTGAGAGTTGTGAAACCTTCAGATGATGTGATTTGAGGCTTTATTTGGTTTTATTGCCTGGGCTTTCCTAGGGGTTTGTATGTCGTGCATTGGCTTTTGACTTCTTTAACCTCATTTAAACTGGCCTTGCTCAGACTAACTTTTCTGTGGTCTTCTAGAGCCACTGCAAAGGGATGGGGCTGGCCAGAAGGACTCCAGCACAGCTAGGAACTATCCTTCTTTCCAGAGATGTTCTGCACGGCTCCCTGAGGACATGTGGCCACTCTCCAGGACAGCAGGTGAGAAGGGGCCTCTACAGTGCAGAGAAGAGCACGTCTAACTGAGGTAAAGGGTTGGAGGGTGATTACAGCACAGGTGTGATGAACCTGGGAGCTGAGCTGAAGTTAGGGAAGGCAGTGAAGATGTGTCTGAGGCAAGGCAGAGTAAATCACTCAGCTTTGTGTGTTCTTGGTTCTTCTGTGTGAAACTGTCTCATCTCACCACCTTTGACAAGAGGTGTCTGTTAGTAATTATGTGACACACAGGTTAAAACGTGACGGTATGTGTAAACCCTGTTGTGTTTTTGGAAAGGTAGGAAAAGAAACAGTTCGGGTAGCATCCCAGTGCTAACTCGTGGGACACTGCGGTTAGTTTAGTGTCAAAGTGGAGAGAACGTTGTTAATCAGGTGGGTATGACTGGTGGTATTTCACAGGGCCTTTTAAGCAGCCTCAGATGCTACAAGAGGAGACATGAGAGAGAACTTCAAACATGTAAATGGCTGCCGAAAAAGAGGGAGAGGATCATTTGTTCTTGCACCAATTGGATGGGATGAGTAGTAGTTAGCTAAGAATTCAGATCCAGGCTGGACAGTAGGAAACATGCCTTTGTAAAAAAGAAAAAATAGTAAAAAAAAAGAATGGCACAGGCGTGGGAAATGTCTAGTTCCAGCTCAGAGCTGTCAGAAGTGATGTATCGGCCTCCTACTGCAATTGGGCTATGGTGACCATCCCCACAGCTTTCTACAAGCTGTGATATCGAGAGATCATGCTCATTCATTGACCCTGTCCTTGTGGTTCATTTGCTGTGGAGTCATATGTGGAAAGACTTTTGTGCTTTTTTGCTATTCTCTCTGAACTTTGCTTTACTTCATGCCTTTTGGCTTATGGTGTGGAAAAATGAGAACTCTCTAAGCAAACTTACAGCAACCTTGAGCAGTTTCTAGGCTGTGGCATGCAGGCAGCTGTTTATTTATAAGGGAAGTTATGCAGACATGACAAGGAGTTGGCCGTTGACCCTTGCATAGTATTGTAATAAATGGTGATGGAGGAAGGATAGGAGAAAAATCAAAGCGTCTTTACTTCAAAGGCAGAGAGAGAAGCTGCAATTAACATGGTCAGATATGGGAAATTCAGCAGGGGAGAGCCTGTACCAGAATTTGCACTGATGTCCCCTGGTCCAGACCCTATCAATCTTACCAGGGAATTTGACAGATGAGGAAAGTCAAAGAGCAGCTGAGGGATTCTGAAATCAAAGGACTTTGAAAGCTGGATCAGAGAATGGAGCTCTATTTTCCCATCTGCTTTGAATTTATTGTTGCTAATGAGGAAGCAGCCTCTGGTCTCAGTGAACATGTTGGACCAGAGGGGTCATTTGACATTTCCATCACATTCAAAAGTGGTATCAGGGGACTTCTTCTCCAAGTTAACCTTTTCACTACCAAGCCCACACAAATGAGCAATTTAGAGTGAGATAGCTAAAGGGGAAAATATGTTGACTTCCTTCAAGTTGACCAAAGATGCTGTTTAGATTCCCAATCCATAGTGTTCTGTTTGGCTGTGTATCTGTTTCTTCTTTGTTGCTGGTGTACGCCATGGTTGGTCTTTTTCTGCAGAGCTAGAGCAGCTGAGAATCTAAGACCTGTAAGTACTTTTGCTCCGTAATATGTGGTTTATGTATAAAGCTGGAAATGGTTCAGGCAGCCATGTACATGTGCGTCCCCTTCAGTGGATGCTGTCCCAATAAGCAGAGGTTCTGTGACAAGGGCAGACCTCTCTCCACTAGACTCCTTGCTGTGTTTTCTAAGCAGCAGAAATTGCACAGCGTTTGAGCATAGAAGCAGATGAGGAGGTAGGCTGATGACACTGAGGCAGGGCTTGGAGCTCTAACAGGAGGCCTTTTGCAACCCATCAGAGTTGATCTTGAAATCAGTTGTTTTGAATACCAGACACTGACCTCCCTATCCCATCTTCCCTAAAACTTTTCAGTGTTTCCAGACCTTTGCTGCCCACTAATGTTGGTGTCATCACATTTGATCTTCTCTGACTCATTCTGATAAAGATGAACGCACAACAGCCAGAGCCTAGAGATGCAGGGAACTGCATTTGGAGTCTGTGATCCTGTCTGGGGCTGAGCCAGCTGTGGCTGCAACTCACCTGCAGGGCAGGATCACTCGCATATCTTCAGTGGTGGACAGAGCATTCAAGGCAAAGTGTTGGTGAGAGCTGAGTCTTTGACTCAGATCTGAGGAGCTTTTCTGTGCAGGCCAAGAAGCTTTGATGCAACAGTGGCTCAGTGGCACTGCCAACTCCATCTATTTTTTTGAGTACTGCAGAGCTCTGACCTCGGTAAGGTGTTGAAATAGATGATGGTTGCAAAAATTAGTTCAGGGTCTGAGTTTGGAAACTCGTGTGAATACTTTTCTAGCAAAACATTTTAAGATAGCATGCTATGAGACAGATCAGCCCCAGCCATTCAGAAGGGGACATGGTATGGTCTTACCTCTGCATTTCCAGCTGGCCAGGTCCTGTCTGAATGAGGTGTGTCAGAGGCAGGCTCTTGCCTTTAATTTTGAAAGACAAAAGAGGCTTCCCAGGCTTTTCGATTCTCTCTGGCTCCCTCTTCTGAAAACACCATGGAATACTCTTTATGACAATTAAATTATAGTTTTATTTATCTTACAAAAGGAATCTTCAAGTACTGTTGCTTTTGCTTCAGTTGTTTTTCTTACAGCGCATTGCTGCGGTGATGTGCTTATCAGGCATAGAAATGGAGACCCTTAGCTGTGCTCTGAGCAATTGCTGAGGGAAGTGGGTGATGGCAGAGGGTAGCTGAGACTTCTGCTGCTGACAGCACGCAGGTGGATGTGTGTGAGCTTACACAGCAGAAGTGTCTGTGTGCAGGTGCTCTTGGCATGCTGCAAGTGTAAAGTGAGGTGAGGTAAACTTCCTATTGCCACCGTTTTAGTCCATGTGAGCAAGCTGGAAGCACAACACAAGGGAGAGTTACCAGGTATGCAGTAGCTTGCTGAACTGTGGTGGGCCAATTGTGGCTGAATCCAGAGGTTCTAATGAGCTTGAAAGCATAGAACCTAATTACTCTTCAAGGATCCATTCACAACCAGTCTCAGTTTGCAATCAAACTAAAGCACGTGACAATGTGTCTGCTGGGTCCTTTCCTTCTTACTGCTCTTCTGAAAGACTTTGCTGTTCCTGAGCTATTTCTTTTCTGGTTGTCTCCTTGGGTGTTAGGCTGTGTTGTTTTAGGATGATCCATCATCTGAGTTAAGTGGTGCCATGCTGGTTCCCTTACCAGCACTGCTGAGGCTAGTTTAGTGAGTTGTGATCATGTAAGAGTTGGCAAATAAAAGGTCCCAGAGCGGATGCGACACTGTGGTCATTAGTTACTGTGATATTTCAGATCATGTTTTCAAGTAAAGTGTTGGGAATTAAAGACAATGAGTTTTCAAGGACATTTTCTCTACTGGGAATGCTTAAACTCAGAAACATACAGTGTCGATAACATAACAGGATTAAAGCTTGTTGCATCAGAATCAGCACAATTTTGTTGCCAACCAGCAGCAAGAGCACAAAAGCCCTTATACAGCAGTTAATGCTCTTAGGAGGAGGCCCTCCTGCTTACTGCCCATGAATTGCAAATATTGACCCACAGTTTGAGGCACTGTCTGGCCTCCAGTACTGCTCTGACTGCTGCCATGCCCAGCTTGCTGCAGGCTGGCTGCATGGTCACCAAAACCCATGGGACCAGATGTGTCTTCTGTGTGGCCTTAGAGGCATCTCACCTTGCTGGGCCAGGCTAGAATCAAAGCATATATTTTTAACACAAGCTTTTTTTTTTTAACAATTTTTTTCTGTTGATTTATAGGTATCAGTCCTCCAAGGCAAGGTTTTGCTAGGTCTAATTTTGTTTAGGTTGGTTAGCAATCCTCTGGTGTGTATTGCAACAGCAGCATGGCACATGCCGATCTCTGCCAGCCACTCTTCCCATAGCTGGGCTGGCTGCTAACGTCTTCAGTTGCATTGCTCACAAAGAGTGTAGTAAAATTGATCCTTCCCCTCCCTCCCTCACTTTTTTCCTTTAATGCTCCTAGCACCAAATAAAAGGAAATCTGTAGTAATCGAAGCAGTGTTGGTGCTTTCATTCCCTTACTGCTGAGAGCCCCATGCTGACAGTGGTAATGTCACAGACGTGCAAAGCTGGGATTAACATCAAAGAGTCCCTGGCCCATGTACCAGCAGCAGGACTGCCTTCAGAGCTTGCTCCGCTGCCGCAGTGTGCTAGTGAGGCATGGGGGAAGCTGTGGAGGTGGCTTGCATTTGCTTCTATTTCATTTTCAAAAGTGCAGCAGGCCTGCATGCTAATACAATAGCTGCTTGCAGTGGTGGGGCTGCAGGAGGAAGGGGTCTGTTCTGTGGTGCACTCAGGGGCTCCTGGTGGAGCACTTGAGAGAGAAGGAAGAGAGGCAGAAGTAATGCCTGTTTTAGGGTTTTAAAAGAACTTGTGATGTTTCCTGACCAAGTTGATACACAGCAGATCTCAAGGGGATGGTAATGGACCTGCAAACCTCTCTGTGGGCTAGCCCTAATAAAGGACAACATCTGAATGTAACTGTTTAATTGCTGGTATTTCTCTG